CCTCTAGTAATATATTTACTGAGAACAATGGTGATGTGTTCAATACTTATTTTACCCAATGTATGTATGAATATTTATAAATTACCACCTTAAACAACACTTGTTAATTTTAAAGAACTTTTTCTTTGCTTTTATAATAAATCTGAGCTCTGATTGGCTCTGCTTAGCTTGGAATTACACTGCAGCAAAATGGTACAAAAAAGAAAGAAATTCAAGATATTCTCTCATATATAGTATTCCCTTTGATCACATGAAAGCTTGAAACAGAGCTTTTGTTATCAATGGGCATAAATATACATTAAGCATATGGAAGCTTTCCTTTTAGTAGCAGTTCTGTCAACGCTTAAAATAARCATGAATCACAGTCCACAGCGCCCACACAGATGTCCTCTTACACCAGCATGCAAAACCAAGGATTCTGAAATTAATTTAGTCCGATTCAGATGGTTGAGTTCAAGCAGGATGATTAATTTTAAGAGCTGTCATTTAAGTAATTACAACACAGGACCACTTTGTTTATCCACCGTTAAGGCTGAATAAATAAAAATATACAGATTTTTTTTAACCAGGTAAACATTTAATTGAGTCGGGTCTTGATAAAAAAAAGTCTGCACTCCACTGTGTTTTTGCTTTATATAGTAAAACAAGCTTTTTTGTGTTCCATCTTTAGCAGTGCAAGTTTTTAAATACGTTTAAAAGCATGTGACAAACTCAAGGCCCGCAGSCCAACAACTTKTTTTAATACCTCTTCTTAAGATACTGTTGGACTTTATAAACAACAAATCTAGACAAAAGGAGCACTTTAAACTTAGGATATCAAATTAACAATAAAACAAAAAAAAAACACAAAACAAACTGGACAAACACAGCTGGGCAGACAAAAGTCCATTCTCTGTTATCAGAGAAAATACTGTTCAGGGCCAGGCTCCCCAACAAGATCACCAACTCCAAGTGCCTGCATTTATTTTTTCCTGTTCAAAAGATGTTCTGCTGAACAACACAGCACAAATTTTTGTGTTACTGTATGTCTAACAAATAAAACAAATGAGCCGTACTTCATTAGATGCCCAAGTAGGCCTCTCATGATAACAAATTTTGCTGTGCGATTAATTGTCTCAGAATTTATTGTGATAAATGAGAATATTGTCTGGTGACTATTTTTTAGAACCAATATAATGATAATAGCATAATAATGCAAGTACATCCTCTCAAAGGTCAATAAACTTTATTTTTTAAAGAATGTTTAACAGTGGAACTGGAAGACATTTTAATAAAACCAACAACAAAAAATAAAATGGACTCTCAGTCTCTGCTAACTAAAGTGCACTTGAAAAGTTGGTACCTGTTGCACAAATGCACATGTATTTTTGAGCCAAGTTGGCCATCAAAGGATATCTTTTTTGATTGTCCTGCCACCACACCAAGGGATCAGAAGAGGCATCAAGTGCATCTTCCTGAAGGTGCTTGGTCAGCTCTTCCTCAGCCTGCACTCTTTGTG